ATGTTCTGCCTGGAGAGGACATGATGCTGAGAGAGGTCTGGCCTCTGTCCTGAGCATAAACAGAGGAAAGCTTTGCCTCAGCTTCTCTGCATGTAGATCTGAGGCCATATCYAGGTCTCCATTTTAAGGGATTTTGTAACTGTGTGATGAACTTCATGGTTTGTGTGTTCTGAGCCTGCTATCAGCATTGTTAAAAACATTTATTTGCTGTACTATTACTTTAAATCAGAGCATCTTAGCTAATTTGGGGACTGGCCAGTGGCTTCATTCACATGATGAATACCATTATACTCTATTTCTAGGTGATTCAAAGTTGGATCTAGGCAAGGGAGATTGTGTTTAGGGCTTGAGGCAGAGCAGAAAATAAAATAAATGTGTCACGATAGTTCAGCTTTCAGTACAATTTTATTGAAGAAAGTAACTCAAGCTTTGATTTATTCTGAGCACGTCAAGGACACCTTTGTAGTGTTGCTGCCCTAAGCCCAGGGCTGCCCATTAAGGGTCAAAACGTGCTCGGGGAGCCAGGAATGGTTTGGAACCACACAAATGCTGCAGCATCCCAGTGGGGGCATAGGGAGTTGAAGGAGAATCAGCTGGGCTCTGAGTGAGGTCTGGTGACACTCAAAGAGGCTGCAGACAGATTTAAAGGTGACAGGGGAAATAACATAATAGAGGATTTGAGACAGGCTCCATAGCTTTGAGGGCTGAAAACAAAAATTCCAATGAAACTGCTGGACTTGGAGCAGTCATATTCCATAGTCACTCAGGCCAGGAGTGAAATTTGGTTGTAAAGATGGGCTGGGACAAAGACCCCCCCTGAAGGTGATGAAGTGTGTGAGCTTGTGCAGTTGCTGCTGTGCAATTTCTGTTTCCTTGGCTGCCCAGTGGAATCATCTTACCATCTGCAAAGTAAAGTTCAGGATCAACAAACACTTCCATTTCTCTTCCATCCTCTGCCTTTGCAAGGCTTTCCAGGAGATGGGGAGGAGACCCTGCTCAGAGGTGCCTTTCTCTCACTGAGCATTTCTGTCAGGGGAATGCACAAGACTAAGGGGCTCACTCAGCCACCCATCAGGTGGGTTTRCCTTCTGTGTGCATGTGTTTACACATTTTACACTCTCCCCGGCTTAAGAAAAAATCTTCCCGGGGAATGCACTGTTCTCTGGCATGGGGCAGATACTAGAAACTCTATTTATGTGAGGCAGATGCTGAGATCTTTTACTCAAAGGGGGTTTTATGCACTAAGACCTTTTCATGCTGAGAGGACAAAGCCTCTGGATTTCCCGGAGCAAAGCACTGGCCCAAATTGTGCTTTCCTCATTCTAGCCACATATTGGATTTTTCTATTCTGGATAAAGTATCAAGACCAGTATCATGCTGAAAATGGCATACACTTGAGATCAGTGTTGGTGTTTAGCAGCATTGGTTATGTCTGTACAGATCTGTTTTCAAAGGTGGCTGCATTTCACTGGAAAAGAGACTTTCCTAGTGATTAAACATGGTAATGGTCAGGGGCTTTGCTCTTTTGATATGGAAGCAGGAATTCAGACTGAGAGCCAATACACTTTCAGGCTTTGGCACATTAGTTTGTCCTGCCCTTTCTGTCAAAATGGGTTTGCATYTTAAATTCTTGTTGGAATGTGGAAACTGGTGAGCTGAAAACCCAACAGACAGAATTCTTCTTTAGGCAAACGATCCCAGTGTGCTCGGCAATGTACAGGTGATCACAAAAGCTGACTCTGCCCAGAGCAGAGCCAGGTACTTGGGTACTGCTTAAATAACAAATTTAGTAATASAGCAGCAGCTTAATTCCTCTTGCCTTAATCACTGTCTCTTATGATAATGTTTGTGCTAGAACTAAAAAAGTCAACTCAAAGGTGCTTAATCATTTTCCACACCTGTGGGGCTCCTGCACTGCACACAAGGGGCCTGGTAGCACAAACTGACTCCAAAATTAAAACTGRTTGTCTCCAGRAACCCCAGCTCAGAGAGTCTGCTGYYRTATCTCTCCTGGTTGAACACAACTGCCCTCCTGGATGATCTGTTTCCAGCTCTCTGGTACCAGGCTGACCTCCCTGCTTTTCCCTAAAAATGACCTGTTACTGACGGGTAGGCTCGCAGCAGTGCTATTTTCCTCCTCAATTCTGATTTAAAAAATGCTTTAGTCCGTGAAACACAGGATGGTGCCCCTTGGATTAATTCCCTGTGGGAACAAGGCAGAAATGCTGGTCCCTGGCTGCCGTGCAGGTGCCAGCCTGGCGTGCACAGAATGTGCCACCCTCCAAACCCCACAAAGGTGCCTTTCCCTTCCCGTGCCCGGCCCCAGCTCCCAGCCCCAAGAGAAACCTCCGGGAGAAACCCTGAGCAGCAAGGCTGTCCTACACGGGAGGAGTCCTGGGCTCCAACAGCTGCTCGGGGTTTGAGTCCCCCCGGCAGATGTTTGCTATTCCAGCCACTTCATTAATGTTGGAAACAAAAACCCTGATTATTCCTGACCAAAGCACCACTTTTTGATTGACAGCCAGTGTGTGTTTCATACTACATAACCCACCGTATTGCGCTGGGCACTTACTTAAAAAAAAAAAAAAAATTAATAAAAAGAAATAAAGTTTCTGGAGATGTGTCATTATGGGCTAATCCCACCTGCCAGTTCGTCTGCCTGGGCTCAGGTGAGGGCATCACATTTCTAGAGTATGGACAGAGGTGCCTGCCACACACCTCTGGATATTCAGCCCTTCAAATGTGAGAAGGAAACATTTAAAGACAAGCAGAAAGAAATATTTAAATTGTCCTGCCGTCACTTGTGTGCGAGCTCAGCGAGCCCACGGTTTGCTTCCCCTCTTGATTTCTGGGCTTGCTCTAATCAAGCTCCTGGAATACTCTTTAGGAAATGTTCCTCTGCTGCATCGTGTCAGGTTTTGCAAAGGCAGGAARAGCAGGATAAATCTGAAGTGGAGGTAGGGGGGCTGCAGCTCCTGCCCGGACCCGAAGGGAACACAGGGCAGCAAAATGCTCRTTTGCTGCTGCTTCGGGGCTTAAATCAGTGCCTTGCTCAGGCTGTTGCTTCCGAAATATTCTTTYCAATAATTGTCAGCAAGCACTAATTGCTGAAGTTAATGTTGCYGGTAATTACTTTATTTCCTAAACAAAACAGAAAAAAAATTCTGAAAAGGCAGAGAAAATGTGTTCCTGAAGTGGTTTCTGTCTGAATGAAGAGGTGAGTACTCATAAAGCTACATTCATAACAAAGTCAGCTCATCTCCTTAAATATCCGTACTTTGTTTAGGAATTAAAGCAGCAGTTTAAGTAATTTAGAGAGAGTTATATGGTCAGGGAGGAGAGAAGTCCTTGAACTCCTTAGTCGTTGTCATTCTAGTTAAATTCCTCATTGTAAGATCGCTTTAATTTCTCAAAATAAAAAGAAATAAAACTGTTTCCAACCAGTTTCTCAAAATAAAAAGAAATAAAACTGTTTCCAACCAATTTGTTTTAAATGAGAGTGTTCTCCCAATGATTTAAAATGAGCAAACCACTTTGCTTTACATTTATTTTAGTATCATTTGCCGTGCCATGTTTTTTTTAAAAAAGTGAAGTTTTAAGAAAAAACATTCAATGAATACATTGAAAGCCTGATATACCCTTGCACCTGTCTTCTAGTTTTGATAGTGTATGGACAATGCAAGTGTCTTATTTTGATTTTAAGTCTCTATAATTGAGCAACTGTATCGCTGAAGTCAGATGAAACTTTGAATTGAAAAAAGAAACAGCGCTTTTACAAAAGAGATTAAAGATAGTTTATATAGTGTTTTGAAGGCTTTAAAAATACAGTGGAAAAAATAAAAGTTGATCAAATCATTGATGAGAGTTTGAGATGGTTGTTGCCTTTTACAAAAACAGCTTGAGTTTTCTGTTACTAAAATAAGAGTTTGCTGTCATTTGGATTGCCAAAGCACGAGAACTGAAGGAYGGCTGATAACTTTTTGCAGATTATATTTAAACCCTTGTGTGAAACCTGCAAATAATATTTTCTGGGGGGTTGTAAATCTCCTTAATGAGCCTCTCTTTACCCATTTAAAGGTAGTGAGCTGGCTGTGGGTTCTGGAAAACMTGCAGYAASCAAAGGWTTCYTCCTGATACACCTTTCCCTKAGCAGGGTGWCCTGCTGATTCCCATCCGAGGCCAYGGASATGAAAWTAAAACTCAGTCCTCAGTCTGGTAGGAATTATTTGCCTCTTATTCCAGCGGCAAAGCCTCAGCACCCCTCAGCAGAAGGGGCTGAAAGCTCAGCTTTTCAAAAATCCAGCCGAACTAAGCAAGGATCAGAAAATCATCAGAAAACCATCAGAAAATCATCTCACACTTGGGGTCCGAGTGACGCCACTCCAGAGGAAAGTATCTTCTCCACAGTATTCCTGCAAGGCACCTACAAACAGGACTTTTCCCCCTCTGCCACTCTCCAGCACTTCGCGGCTCAGGGATCGGTTTGATGCCAGTCAGGGGAAGCTGTCGGGGCCGGGGATGCGGCACTCTCCTCCGAGAGCCCACACTGAAGTTTTTTTTTAGGTAATTACAATCTAGACAAGAGGAGAAAGGGGAGAAGAAAAAAAGAAATGGAAAAGAAAAAGAAAAAAAATGAAAACAAAAAAAGAAAAAGCCAGCCTCAATCTGGAACCTTTAACCAAGAAGGAA